GTCATTAGCTTCCACTTGGTCAATTCTAATTTTTAAGGAATTATTTTCTTCAGTGAGCTTTTTCCATGTGGACAATTCTGCTTTTTAAGGAGTTCTCTTCAATGAGTTTTTGTGCCTCTTTTACCATTTGGCCAGTTCTGTTTTTTAAGGTATTATTTTCTTCAGTATTTTTTTTTGTGCCTATTTTACCAAGCTGTTAATTCTTTTTTCATAATTTTCTTGCATCACTTTCATTTCTTTTCTCAATTTTTCCTTTACCGTTTTTATCTTTTTAACTCTTCTAAGAATTCTGGTTAGATTTGAGCTCAATTAGCATTTTTATTTGAGGCTTTTTTGTAGCTGTTTTCACATTATTGTCTTCTTAGTTTATGGCTTTTTCTTCCCTGCCACCATTGTAGCTTTTTATGGTCAGATTCCTTTTTTTTTTTCCCCTTATTTTCTAGCCTATTTCTTGATTTTGAACTTTTATGTTAAAGTTGGGCTATGCTTATCTAGGGGTGGGGAGGCACTGTCCCAAGTTTAAGACTTTTTTGGTGCTGCTGTTCTCAGAACTAGTTCTGGGGATCTGCGAGTTTTTGGTGCTTCCAAGATGGTGTGATCCTGTGAGATCTGTGCTCTGATCTTTGTCCAGGAAGGGTCCAGTCCTTGCAGCTACAAGTGCTAGTCCTTCTCTTTGCTTTGGAACTGTGACCAAAGCCCCTGCCCTCTTGTGACAGACCACCAGTGCTCCTCTCTGCCCTGGAAATGCAACCCAGACCCGCGTAAGGGCAATAGAGTTGTCATACAGCTCCAGCTGTACCCAGTGACAGCAAAAGGTTCTCAGTAACCTTTTTCTGACCAGTTTTCCGACCCCTTACCATCCCTGGGCTGAGAACTTTTGAAGTTACTGCTGCTGCAGCTGCTGTTGCCACTGCTTCATGTGGACTCTGTATAAGCCTCCACCCTGGTGTCACAGACTTCTGTGATCTCTTAAGTTTTCTTAGGTCAGAAAAAGTCTTACTCTGACCTTTTGTTGACTGTGCTGCTTCAAAGTTTGATTTGAGGTGTTATTTTAAAGTTATTTAAAGGACAGTGTTGGGGAGTCCATCTGGGTTGCTGCCTCTAATCTGCCATCTTAGTCAGATGGTGAATCTTAGGGAGCATAAAGGACTGAAATGAGATTTATGTATTACAGAGCAGCATCACAACTTTGTATTCATTCAATGTCTTCCCTCTTTGTAAAGGACTTTCCTAGGTATTTCCTGTTGTCTGAGCTCCTGCTAAGCTCTTTGTCTTTTCTCACATTTCTTCTCATCTCTTCTTCCTTTGTTTGTTTCCCACATTCATGGATAGCTCTTTTTAGGTGCCCAGTGGACATTTGGGCTTTACACATACTTATCTAGGGGTAAAGGGTTGGGGCTGGTATGAGTGACCCAAGCCAAGCTGGATGGGTGCAGAGTTTTGAAAAGAGTCTAGATGAGGGCAGTCATGGGCAATTGGTCTCGATGATGCCCTGGAAATGGGATCATTACACTATTCCAGAAAGGCTTCTAGCTCACAGGGTTCTTAGATATGCTTTGATTTGGTCTAGACTTTCAGGTGTTGGTCTGCCCCTCCTGGGGTGCCAGGAGATTCTCTTTATTCAGAGTTTTGGGGAGAATTTATCTTTGGAAACTTCACTCCAGGATTTTTGTCTTCCACCTTTTTCTTCCCCTGATGATACCATTTCCCAGCTTTCTGGACATGCTCTTTCAAGGACGTAACTGTTTTACTGGGATATAAGTGAAACGTTCTTGAGGCACACATACACTGTATACAGGTGAGGTAAGTTGAACAGTCTCCAGTTCCTCTTTTGCTTTGGTGCAGGTATTTACTCTTATGTTTCTCTGTTGGCTTGGCACAGATAGGAAGCATTTCTCTTTTAACCTTGCTTTCTCACTTTCTTCTTGGAATTCACAGAGGAATAGAATCTCACAGCTGGAAGGGACCTCAGAGGTTAGATGGTTCAATTTCACCTTCATGAATCTCATTTTTAATAGGCAAGAACTGACCTTGCAAATCTGGTGGCTCATGTCTAAGATTGGAACAAAATGAGACACTTTTGGTTCATCTAACCAGTTAATGATAGTCTATAGACAAAGCAGGGGAAGGACATTCAGAGCAGGGAAAGGATATTTATTGAAGATATATCTTTGATCTAGCTAAGCATAACTGTTTCTTGCTATTGGTCTAAAGCCAGAAAACTTAGGGAAGGGCTCCAGCCCCTTATATCCTCTCTGCTTTTGAACTTGAGATGATGAAGCTATCCCAATGGTCCAAGACAGTTAAATCTTAAGGATAATTTGATACCTTTTAAGGAGAAAAACTCCATGGGGTAGGACCTTAGGCTGTTGTTTCCACCACACCATCTGTTAGCATCCTTTACAAGTATTTGTTCACTTTCCAGATGAACATTTCCATCTATGTGGAACTCACCATTTCATATGGTATTACATGAACATTTTGGGGGATATGGGATATTCATGGAGGACTAGCACCTTTATGGTGAGGGTTTATGGAGCCTTTTCAGGGTTGTTCATCTTCCTTTGGTGTCTAACTTCGCCCAACTCTGATCTGTGGCTCCAAGGAGCTGTAGCATACCCAGCAGTCACACCCCAATATAATCGTCATAGCAGAAGGGTTAAAGCAGATTGAGGGTAACCGACAGGCCTCAGAACTGTTGGTGAGTTAAGGGAATGTCTGCTGCAAGCATGTGAAGACTTCCCCCTGTCAGAATGGGTGGATGAGAACGGTTTGTTCCATTAGACATGAAGGGTTGAAGCAGACACTTGAGAGCACTTAGAGCTTGGTAAATATTGAAGACACCTAGTTCATCCACTGCATCCTGGGCCATTGTCAATCTTCCTGACTTTCGTTTTGCCACTGACTCTGAAAGAGGGAGTGAGGCTGAAGACTTTGTGCAACTCTGCCTCACTTAAATCTAATTCATGTATGAGTCAAGACATCAACCTGTGATGTCACTGGTTCTCTTCACAACAAAGTAAAGTAACAACAACATGAATATTTCTGTTCTTTTGCCTTCTCTTTCTCTTCTTCTGTTGTGTGTGTATGTGTGTATGTGTACACGTGTGTACGTACATGTATTGATATATCCTGGAAGAGCATTGTTAATGTGACATTTTTTTGAGAAACAAATCTACTGTGTTTTCAGTGTAAGGACCTGGCCAGTTATCCAGTCTCATTGGCCCTTGGCGGTAAGGGAAGGGTAGACATTCGTTATGTTCAATGGCTGCTTGGGAAACTGCGTTTCCAGTGGCGGAGTTTGTATGCCAGCCAGCAAGAACAATGCACCCTCCTGAATAAGGTAAGGATTGGCCTCCGTATGACTCACCTTATGTTTCTTAAATAGTTTTTTATTTTCGTCATTTTGGACTTGACCAGTCACTATCTCTTTCTAGATACTCTCATGTCTAGGTTTTTGTGACTTTACTGTCTCCTTATTCTCTTATCTGTCTCACTGTTCCTTTTCAGTCTCATTTACTGGTGTATCTATTACAACCCTTAATTATCAGTATCCCCCAAGATTATGTCCTAGACTCTTTTCCTCTCCTTCTGTATTATCTCACTTGGTGATCTCATCAACATCCATGAGTCCAGTTACCATATTTTTCCAGATTTATCTGTCCATCCCTAATAATCTCTCTGCTGAGCTATAGTTATACATCTCCAACTACCTCTTGAACATCTCCAACTGAATGTTCCATAGGCATCTCAAACTCAACTCAACATGTCCCAAGTGGACCTCTTTATCTACTCCCTTCTCAAATCCTTTCTCTTCTGAACTTGTTTCTAGGCTTACAACCTTTCCTGTATAGCCCCTTTTCTCTACTCATATAACCACATACAACCTCGTTCGGGTCCTCATCACTTCTCACCTAGACTACTGCAATCTAACTTGTCTTTCTGCCTCCCTACTCTAATATATCCTTACTATCTAATCTAACAGCTGCCAAGGTGATTTTTCTAAAATATAGATCTAACCATGTCACCTCCTAGTGACTTACTAAGCTTACTAAGGTAAGCTTCAGTGGTTCCCTGTCACCTTTAGGATCAAATATAAACTCATCTTTGGCATTCAGAATTCTTCCTAACCTGCCTTCTTCTAACCTTTCCAGTCTTCTCATACTTTACTTTCTGTCATGAACTGTGTGATTAAACTACACTGGCTGTGGTTCCTCATATACAACTCGACTCTGCAAATAAGTGACCAAAGAGCCACAGAGGTTATTATACCAACTCTCAACTCTGAAAATACCAAAGAACTCACAGAAGTTCTACAGCTGTTAAACTCTGAAGAAAAAAATGATAAAGCCAAAGAGCTCACAGAGGTTATAGGCGAAAAGCCTTCTTTATTCTGTTGGAGGAAGGAAACTAGACATGTGTGATGGTATCTGCTCTAAGATTGAGGAGATCCAAAGCAGTGAGACTGAGCCTTGACACATGTAGTAGTGGCTAGACAAAGAAACAGGCAGTGAGCTGTAGCTGTGGCAGTGAGGGGGTAATAGCAGCAGTGAAACAAGTTTGATTCATCGCATGGCTTTATGACCAGAACATGGTTGCTGCAGGTACTTGTCTAAGCTCAGGGACTACCTGGGGCTGGTGTGAACCAGTTCTATGATTTAGATGCAGCAGGTTTCATCCAGAGAGTGAGAACAAAAGATTGTTGCTTGCTTGCTTGCTTGCTGGGCCTTAGCTCTGGGAAAAAGGGTATCCTAGTAGTAAAAAGAGAGAAGTTAGAGGGGTGGTTTTGTCTTGGGGATGCTGACACCCTTCACCTCTACCTCTTAGTTTTCCCTGGCTTCCTTCAAGGTTCAATTTAAAATCTGTAAGGGATCAGGAAAGGTCCTAGCAGCTAACACTTTTCTTTTTCAGATGATCTCATTTACACTGTCTTCTGTGTACCTCTTTATTTTCACGTTGTCTTTCCTATTAGAATATATGATCCTTGACGGTAGGGACTTTTTTTTTTTGCCTTTTCTTTGTATTCATAGTACTTGGCACAGTACCCAGCACATTTGATGTATGCACATATGCATGTTGACTGACTTGACATAGCAACAAGCATGAGCACTGTTATACAAAAAAGAAAACAGAAAAAAAGGATTGTAAATGAAGACATGAGTCTCTATTGTATATAACTTTTAAGAAATATATATATATATATGTATATATATATAAATTCAGTGTTTTAGATTTGAAGCCCTCCTGAATGTCTGTCTCTTTCCTGTTCTATGTTCTTCTGTGAAAAAGTTTCAATTACCCTGTTTTCTTTATTTTCTTCTTTTTGGGAGGAGTTATCAATATTGCTAATCAATCAAATTCCCTCTCAAATGTCTTCATTCTCCTCTCCTATAAAATGTATAACCTCATATAAATACTCCCACCTGACCCCCTTGTAACAAATAAGCATAATGAAGCAAAATATATCTGTACATTGCCATGTTAGAAAAAGTATATCTCAGAGCTCACTATTTAACAAAAACTGCTGGGAAAACTGGAAAATAGTATGGCAGAAACTAGGTATAGAACAACATCTCATATCATATACCAAGGTAAAGTCAAGATGGGTACAGGATTTAAACACAAAGGGTAATTCCACAAGCAAATTAGGAGAACAAGGAATAATTTACTTGTCAGACCTATGGAGAATAGAAGAATTTATGACCAAACAAGAGATAGAGAATTTGCATTATGAAATGCAAAATGGATAATATTAATTATGTTAAAGCTAAAAAGCTTTTGCACAAACAAAACTAATGCAACCAAGTTAGAAGAAAAGCAGAAAAGATGGGAAACAATTTTTACAGCAAACGTCTCTGATAAAGGCCTCATTTCTAAAATATATAGAGAACTGATTCAAATTTATAAGAATACAAGTCATTCCCCAGTTGATAAATGGTTAAAGGATGTGAACAGGCAGTTTTCAGATGAAGAAATCAAAGCTATCTATAGTCATGAAAAAATGCTCTAAAATGCATTAGGGTCCCAATTTTCTCACATCTTCTCCAACATATATCCTTTCCTTTTCTGCCATGTTTCCTAATCTGATAAAATGTGAGGTGGTACCTTAGAGTTATTTTAATTTGCATTTCTCTAATCAGTAGTAATTTAGAGCACTTTTTCATATGACTGTAGATAACTTTGATTTCTTCATCTGAAAACTGCCTGTTTTATTAGTCCCCTCCTTTTATTTTCCCCTTCTCCTTCTACTTCACTACAGGGTAAGATAGATTTCTTTACCCAACTGTGTGTGTATGTTATTTTCTCTCTAAGCCAAATCCAATGAGAGTAAGGTTCAAACAATACTCACCCCCCTTCCTTCTTTCCCTCTACTGTAGTAGGTCTTTCATGCCTCTATATGTGATATAATTTGCCCCATTTTGCCTCCTCTTCTTTTCCCAGTACAATTCTTTTTTTCACCCCATAATTTTTGTTTTACCATCATATCAAAGTGAACTTATAGCCACACCCTCTGTCTATATGTACTCCTTCTAACTGCCATAATAGAGATACAGTTTTTAAGAGTTACAGGTATCACTTCTCTTGTAGGAATGTAAACAATTTAACCGTATTGAATACCATATTGTTTTTTTTCCTGTTTGCCTTTTTATCCTTTGGAAGTCTTGAGTGTTGTATTTGAAGATCAGATTTTCTGTTTAGCTCTGGTCTTTTCTTCAGGAAAGTTTGAAAGTCCCCTATTTAATTAAATGTCCATTTTTTTTTTCCCTGAAAAATTATGCTGTTTTGCTCAGTGATTGTTTCTTGGTTATAATACAAGCTCCTTTGCCTTCTGGAATATCATATTCCAAGCCCTTTGATCTTTTAATGTAGAAGCTGCTAAGTCTGTGCAATCCTGACTGTGGCTCCTTGATATTTAAATTGTTTCATTCTAGCTGCTTGCAGTATTTTCTCCTGGACCTGATGGTTCTGGAATTTGGCTACAATATTTCTTGGAATTTTCATTTTGGAATCTCTTTCAGGAGGTGATTGGTGAATTCTTTCAATGACTATTTTAACCTCTGGTTCTAGGATATCAGGGCAGTTTTCCTCACATTTTATCAGATTAGGAAACATGGCAGAAAAGGAAAGGATATATGTTGGAGAAGATGTGAGAAAATTGGGACCCTAATGCATTTTAGAGCATTTTTTCATGACTATAGATAGCTTTGATTTCTTCATCTGAAAACTGCCTGTTCACATCCTTTAACCATTTATCAACTAGGGAATGACTTGTATTCTTATAAATTTGAATCAGTTCTCTATATATTTTAGAAATGAGGCCTTTATCAGAGACGTTTGCTGTAAAAATTGTTTCCCATCTTTTCTGCTTTTCTTCTAACTTGGTTGCATTAGTTTTGTTTGTGCAAAAGCTTTTTAGCTTAACATAATTAATATTATCCATTTTGCATTTCATAATGCAAATTCTCTATCTCTTGTTTGTTGAAAGATACTGTCCAGGCTCTTTTTTTGATCATGGCTTTCAGTCCAATAATTCTTAAATTATCTCTCCTGGATCTATTTTCCAGGTCAGTTGTTTTTCCAATGAGATATTTTATGTTTTCTTCTATTTTTTTCATTCTTTTGATTTTGTTTGACTGATTCTTGATGTCTCATAGTCATTAGCTTCTACTTTCCCAATTCTGATTTTTAAAGAATTATTTTCTTCAGTTAGTTTTTGTACCTCCTTTTCCATTTGACCAATTCTACTTTTGAAAGAAATGTTTTTTTCAGTGGATTTTTTTCCCCATTTGGCCAATTCTGTTTTTTTTTTCATTTAAAAAAATTATTTTAAACGTACATACTAAAACTTAACTACACAATAAGAAAAAAAAGCATATTATAAACTTAAATACAAAATAAGAAAAGAAAAAAAGCATTGCCCAGTGAACAGTAGAATGTGAGAGGATTCACATTCTACGTCAATAAATTTCCATTTCAAAAAAGCCTATATAATAAATACTACACATTGCATTTGAGCTGTCCATCTTTTCTTTGCTTCCTTTCTTCTCCCCCCCCCTCCTCTCCCACCCCTAGGAAGGCTACAGTTGAGTGCGGATATATATGTATATATGAATGTATGCACACATACATATACATATATATGTACACACACATATGCATACATGTATTTATACATACATATACACATGAATGTGTATATATATACATATATATGTATATATATGTGTGTGTATATATATATACACATATATACACACACACCTACATACACATATATAGACATACTCATACATATACTTAGGTGTCTGTAATCATAATCATATATAGACATATACATTCATA